TCCCCCTCTTCCTTTTTTTGTGGTAAGAATACAATGTGAAATCTACCCTCTTAACAAATTTTGAAGTGCCCAATATTGTTAACCGTAGGCCCTATGTTGTACAGCAGAGCTCTAGAATGTATTCATCTTGCTTAACTGAGACTTGATACCTATTGAACAACTCCCCATTCCCCACTCCTCCACCCAGCCCCTGGCAACCACCATTCTACTCTCTGCTTCTACGAGTTTGGCTGTTTTAGATATCGCATCTAAGTGGAATCATGCGGTATTTGTCCGTCTGTGGCTTATTTCACTTAGCATAATGTCCTCCAGGTTCATCCATGTTGCAGATGGCAAGATTTCCTATTTTAAGGCTGAATAATATGTCATTGTAGGTATATACCATATTTTTTTTATCTGTTCATCTGTCACTGGACATTTGGGTTGTTTCCATATCTTGGCTATTATGAACAGTGCTGCTATGAACATGAGAGTGCAGATATCTCTTCAAGATCCTGACTTTAATGAAAGAAGGGGAATTTCAAAAATTATTTATATGTTATTTGTCATTCATACAACACTCTCTAGAGAGGTTGTAGTAATTTATACTTTCACACATAGTATGTGAGTGCCTTTTCCCTTTATCCTTGTCAAAATTTGTTATTATTAATCTTAAAAAAATTTTTGTGGAGGGAGGTGTCTTGTTATTGACAGCAGTTGAACAGCAGTTTGTCAGTGCCTTCGTGTAAGCCTAAAGTTAGTAATTAATGAGGACGTCAGTTCGAAAACTGGAAAGCTTGACCTTGATGTGGAGGTGGCCTCAGGCATGCTGCAGGCTGGGCAGGCAGCAGTGTTAGCCCTGCACAGATGTTGGGTGAGCTGCAGGGGACAGTGCTGAGCGGAGGGGCCGGCATTGGGTCATCTGCCTTGACCTGGGGCCATCGGGGAGGCCACCACGCTGCCTCTGGTTTTGAGGGTGCAGAATCTCCCAGGTGACGCACTTTCACCTCTGGGCAACCCAGTGGAGAGCAGTGAAGCAGGGTCTTCCCTTTTATAGCCAGAGAAATGGAGCCTTTGAGGGCCGTTTCTTTACTTTTTTTTCCCCTATGATGAGCATTATAAAATTCATATAATGTTGAAAGGCTAACATTTCTCCACTGGTAGAGCTTGTCTCAGGGCAACAGTGATTTTTTTTTTGTCTCCTTTTTGACCTAAATTATCTGTGGATTGTACTCTTTTAAATATAGAAACTATTTTTTGTTGATATCTCTCCCTTGTCACATTAAATTTTGTGTTAGCATTCATTTTGAGATTAATGTAAATTTTACCTCAGCAAATTAACTTTGATTCTCATTCTTTTCTTGGTTTTTGTGGGGTATCCTTTGCAGTTATATGGCGGTACTTATTTTATCATGTTACTTTTCTATTATATACTTTTCCTTTATAAACAAGGAGTGGTGTGCTTTCTGGCTCACTTTACCTTTTAAAAAGATAACATTGATACCCTAGTAAAGGACACTATATTTTGCTCACTCATGAGTTTTGATCACAGAAGAGCTGTATTTTATAATTTAAGTTGAGAAACTAGAAGGCTGGGTATGTGGCCTTCAGCAGTATTTACTGATTAATCGTACTGAGTTTTGGTCCAGATGTCAGAGAAACTGAAGTTTTCTCTGTGTATTTGGATGATTTCAGAGGCATAAAGTTACATTAATATATGAAAGCAAGCTTACAAAGTTTCTTTAGCGTCCAGCCTTTATTAGGTCATCGTGTCACTCAAAAATGTGCCAGGCTCGTAGTGGGCACTCACAGTTCCTTCAGGATTTTTTAAGCGCCTAGATGTACATGGCACTGTGCCAGTAAAATTATGCAATCCACAGGGATAGAGCCCCCTCAAAATTACTTAAAAATCTATACTGGAAGTTTATTTCCTAAATGTGCCAAAATTTCTCACTTAGTTCTTGAAACATTTTACACATAGCTAGTTACATGTGGGCGAGATAGGTGGCAATGTTTGTGTTTGATGTGGGTAGGGAGATGATCCTGGCAGACCTGAGATGAGTTCTCTTGTTCTTTCTGTTCATGTGTGTTTTTGCTTTAAGAAAAGCCCTCCTCTTTTCCCTTATTCCTCTTTCCACCTTCCAGTATGGCAAATGCAAATCAATAAAAGAAATAGGATAACCTGTGGGACCATTTTTTCCTAAATAAGAAGGTGGTTCCATGGAATAATAATGTTTAGAATAGTCTTGTTTTAAGAGCTTGTCTCGTAAACCTATAATAATTTGCCTCCAAGTTTATGTGCTAATTGGAAACCCAGAATCCTAGTGATAAACGAATTTTAGAATCTTCTCCACTTTTTAACAAGTTTAGAAATCTCTTTTTAGACCTGTGTTTGCCTCATGGTCATCTAGTTTCTTTATTTACACTTGTAGTGAGGGGACCTCACTGCCCTGCCAGGCAACTCATCCCGTTCCCTGCAGCTATGATCACTGGAAAGCTCTCCTTCTATTCATCTGAAACCTGCCTGTGGTGGAACAGTGCAGAATATATACATTACACATCACAAAGCTACTTTAAATGAGTATTTCTTTTCATCGTTAGATGGAAATTACGGAGGGCAATGATCATGTGTGCTTAGTCTTTTTCCTTCTAGTGCTTTGAACACAGGCACTCAATAATGTTTGGAGAATGAATTCATACTCAGTTTCGTATGACGTCAAGATTAACTGGAAGTTGGGCTAAGTATTTTTTGCCTGTGTTTGATTTAGAGAATATGTAAGTTGGCCTTTGTAGAGTAGATACAGTCAAATTTAGGTTTTTCCATTAGTTAAAATGGAAATGTTCTACAGTGACTGTGCTTTTGAACCACAAATAAACTCTGATAATTCTTAGCAAATGACCCAGTTAGATAAGAAGAAATCCATTTGTTTTGCTGTTTATTTGTGGTCCTCATCCTTGCCAAAAGATCTGTGCAGAAGAGCAATGCAAGCTGTGGATTTTCTAATGACTAATCGTTTTAGCTGTTGTCTTCAGTAACCTTAAAGAATACATTAAAACCTGGGAAGCTTTAAAAAAAAGTCAGGGAAAGATCCTGAGGTACCCAGAAGCATGCCAAGGAAGACTTGACTCCATTTGGAGTCTCCAAAGTCACCTGTAAAACTCTCTGGAATTTAAAATCCAGTTTTTCTGCAGTATTGCACAGCAAACAGGCAGAACCTTGCTATAAATCCTTTCTTACCAAATGGCCAGGTTTTGAAACTAAGGACCTGGAAAGGCTCTTGGTTGTCAACCCCTAGGTTGTGCCTGAGGATGCTAAGGCCAGAGAGCACCAGTCACTTTTTGAAAGGAACATAGCTGCCCTCAGGCAGAGCCTGAGTCTAAAACTCAAGTTTTTTGACTCGCAGTCTAAAAATAAAACATCAGAAGAGGCAGAAACTGTTGACTGCTTACTTGGCCACGTTTTAAATGTTATAGCCAGTGGGAGTTGGGACTTAGACATATTTTTTCCTTCCTCAAAACTATTTTTGGTCTCCTGGCGTTTCCAGCTTCCTGTGAATCCTGTACCTGCTCTGGACCTGAATGGTCCGTACAGTTGCGGGCACTCTTCCTTCAAGATTCCGTTACTATGAGGCTGCCCCGCCTGGCCACCATCCCCCAGGATGCTCCCCTCTGCCCCTCACGCACCCCTTGCTGTTAGCGGCCTTCTCCTGGCCTCCTGGGGCATCACGGACTGTACTGTGATATCGCCCTCACTCCAGCTTACATCCAGCTACCTGGAGCCAGGCGTTGTCAGCATTCAACCAAGTTGAGCAGATTTCCTTCCATTTCACACTCCCTTTCCCCTCCCAAAGGTAGCTCTGCATCAGCTTTGTCAGACGTCAAGGACGTCTTCTTTTTCTTCTGTTCTATGGTATTAATTGACTACATTCACCTCATTAGCCAGCCTCGTTAGTTTTTCCTTTCATCTTGTTCATTGACTCCCCCAGCCCCTCAGGGGTCAGCCTTGCAGGCATCCTAACTCTTTCCTTTCCGTTGCTAGTGAGGCTCTGCGGCCCAGCCATTGCGTCTGTGAGTGTGTGATGCTTCTGGAGCCCATTCCTTGCCTGCCACTATCCTCTAGGCCTCTCTCCAGTCCTTCTACAGTTGTGGTAGGTTATGGGTTGTTCTCTCTGCATCCAGTCCTGTCTCTTTGCCAGTCCATTGTTTGCACAGTTGCCAGATGAATCTTCTTAAAGTGCTGCGTTTTGAAGTCAGTCTTCCCCTTGTCCTCTTAGAAACATGTACACAGTTCCCTGTCACCATAGGGGAAAGTCTGAACTTCTCAGCTCCTCATTCCGAGCCTGCTGCCATCCGGTGCCTGCCTGCCTCTCAGGTCGTCTCCCACTCCTCCCTCTGCCACAGCCTGTGCTGTTGCTCCGTGCTTCCTCGGTGTGCCTCGGACCTCCTGGTCTCTGGAATTCTTGAGCTCCTTCACGGAGCCTTGTCTGCCGGCCATTCTCTTCAGGTCTTTGCTGATGTTCACATTTGACACTTAATTTGCTAAGCAAACATTATGAAAAACATGCTGTTTTGCTCCTATGAGGAATGGATTACTACTGGGAAGCTTGCCTCTGTCACCTGGATCCTATATCTTCTTGTGGTTGTGTCTGCTGGATTGGAAGTGTAAAGACAGAGGCCAGGGCTTACACTTTAAATTTGAAAAATTTTTAAATCACCAACACTCAGCAAGTGTTCTGCTCAGGCAGATAATAAATACTGAGAGAGTTGCTAGTACACTTCCGTTAAGACTTCTTGGAATTTCTTGTTTTATTTAATTATTTTGGTTTTTATGATTAAATTCTGTACATTCCCATTTTTAACTTAACATGAGTTGTAACATTAAAATTAAGATAGAAATCTGTGAATGTAAAGTCATCAGCTTGAGTTATCTTATAAGACTTAATTAGATAAGATTATTTAAGATAGTACTTTCTCATTAGATTGGCCTTGCCCTTATTAACTTTTCTGCTTTTTTCCTTCAGTCTGCATGAAGAAATCAGTGATTTTTATGAATACATGTCTCCGAGACCAGAGGAGGAGAAGATGCGGATGGAGGTGGTGAACAGGATTGAGAGTGTGATTAAGGAGCTCTGGCCCAGCGCTGACGTGAGTGCCTGTCTGGGTAGCTGGGTGCTTAGGGTGACATCCCTGTCCCAGCTGGAGAGCACGTGTCCGTGTCTCTCTCAGAGTCCCCCTTGCAGCTGTGTCTGCATCTGTAGAGTTACGGTCTCATTCCATTCTCTTCAGCCTTTAGACTTTTGGGCTTCCTAATTATTTGGATTGAATCAGGTGACTTAAACTGTTTCTTTGCAGTGCTGAATAGCAACTACTAAAGGCAAACTATATTTAGGAATCATTAGTATAAAGAGAAGAAAGACAGAGCAAGCCTTGTTGTAGTAGACGGTTATTGGATGTGATGTGTCAAAACTCCATTACTGTTCTGTTCCAACCTGCCAGTATAAACATTGTATAATTGTTTATAGCTGAATGAAAATGTCAAGTAGGAATTTCTTATGTCATTTGAAGTTCGTTTTCTTAGGCTACTGCAGGTGTAAGTCTGTTCTCCTCTCCTGAAACTGTTTTCTTCTCTCTCTCTGACCACTCCTTGTCTCCCAGTGCAGCCCCCACCCAACAAATAGAACTATGCCCAAGACTTCCTCTTTGCTTATTTGTGGTTCTTGTTGTTGATACGAAATTAAC